GGCCTACACGAGTCCCCGACGCTCTGCTGGGTCTCACTGATGTTTCCTCAGTTGGTATTTGGATGATGGTGCTGAAGAGCTTTGTCCGATTCCCATCGGAGTGCTCACAGCAACCTTGACGAGCGCAGCACGCGGTCAGTTGCAGGGCGTGAGGCTGCAGTGTTGTTCATGTATGTTGTTGTTTACACTGACAGACCCTGGTGCCAATCAGGCTCCAGCAGAGATCGATGGCATTGATGGCTCACAGGTCGACCTGAGCACCGCTCCCTGACCGCCCACACTCAGCTCAGCTGGTTAACCACAGACACCGGGGTTAACGGTCCAAAGATTAACGGGCTCGATAAATGATGACTCAGCCGAAACGGGTTTGTCTCCTAAACACATCTGGGAGGACACGCGCGTGCACGCCAACACACGGGACTCCGCGGCTCAAACCTGCAGAGCAACAACACAAATCTAGCTAGCCTAGTTTGCCTGGCTAACGCTAACGACCTGCTGCTGCTTGTACTGAAGCACATCCGCTGAAGGACCCCTGTGTGTTTTTCCTGTTAAAGCACGACGGCCATGTTTAAATAAGATTTCTAAAATGAAGTAACCGGTTGTGTAGTTAGCCAGTGTGCTAACTAGCTGCTAGTAGAGGTTTAACGTGAAGCTAACTCACCTCATACTGGATGTACTGCTTCCTCCACTCCGGGGTGATGTGAGCTGACAGATGCTCTGTGAATTTCATGTCGGCCGCGGCGTCAGTCTTCCTCTCCTACCGTTACTGTAGCCAGGAGGCGGCAGCGGGAGGCTTTCGCTGCTTACACAGCGACTCTCATCCAAAGATTATGCTCAGAGAGGTGCCCTTTTGTCTTTACGGGTAACCTAGCTAACTACCGGCACAGCATCTCCGCTGTCTCAAACACACTCGACGAAGTGTTCGCGGAGCTGCATCTCAGCTGAAGATAAAAACCGTAATTCTGTTTTTATCGCTGTGTTTCTGGAGGACAGGCCAACAGTGTTGGCGTTAGCTGGGTCTTCCTCGCTCGCTGTCGTTCATCCTCTACCTCTCTCCACCTCCTGTCTCCCGCTGCGTTCGCGTGCAGTGGGAAATATAATAACGGGCCGATGATCGGCGAAGGTAAAGTAGTGGTGGGTGTAACGAGGTGTGGCTTTCTTCGTGAGATGTCACCAGATGTGGGGAGTAAACTGGTCGTTTTTAAGCTTAATGGTGAGGTAATGAGCTGGCTTAGAGAGGACTCAGCGTCATAATGTCATCACATTTAAATTTATCGAATGAGGCCAACGCAGAAATGCCATAAATGTCACATTTTTAATGGCAGGCTTCCAG